TTATCAAAGAAAGCTGTTAAAGCTATCAAGACAGATAATGAACAAAACGATTATACTATGTCAGAAACTTCATTACTTTTACAAGAATTAACAGATATTCTTTCAGATAGAGAAGAAAGAGATGCTTTAAAAAGAAAAGTTGAGCTAGAAGAAGGTTTTTATGAGTATTGTATGCAATTTTATCAAAAGATTATTACAGAAAATAAGAAAAAGATGGAATTGTTAGAAAATCAATTCGGTGAAATAGAGGCATTATCTATTGAAGTATCTTCCTATATCACTAAAAGACGAGAGAAACTAGAAATACAAGATAAAATAGAACACGCTGCTATCAAAGAAGAATTGAAAAAGCTTTTTGCAGAAGAAAAATAAACTATTTTCATGACTTTACATTTATTTACATTTATTTACATTTATTTACGTTTATTTACATTTATTTACGTTTATTTATATCAAATAATTACAAATAGTAATGTCTTTTTAAGTTTATTTACGTTGTTACATTGCAAATTAATAAAAACAAGATTGAGAACAAGTAATTATACTAATGGGTATTAAAGCTCAGGGACTGTTTCACCTTTAAGGTGATTCAGCCTTGAGACCTGCTTTAATGGATATAAATCTTTATTAGCAGGTCCCGAGATTAATAAATATGGCTCTTATAAAAAAACTTATCAATAGTATTAGTAAAGATAAGAAAAAAATTAGGAGATGCGAGTAGGAGGCATAAACTAAATTGAAATTAAAATAAAAAAGATATCATTCGATGATATCTGAAACCTCACTTCAACGAACACTTACCAAGAATCATTGAGAGCGTAAAAAAGGTTGAATAAGGGTGGGACTAATTGGGTGGGAGCTACCTGCAGAAGGTGAGCTAAGGTCTTTCGTTTTCTTGTTGTTCTTTGGTGTAGTTGGTGTTGGGGCCATTGTGATAATTTTTTGAGCATGGAAAAATATTAAGTTTACAATGAAAACAAGTCCATTCTTCACTTCGCTCAGAATTAGACATTATTGAAATATTAACGTTTATTTATATATATTACTATTTGTTGAATAAATTAACAGTATTTATTATTAATAAAACCTAGTTTAATGTTTAATCATAATGAAGCAAACAATTTGTATTAAATAATAATCATTTGATACATAATAATACATAATCTTCCGGCATGGAATAATAGGTGCCTGCAGTATTTATTTTTAAAATACTGCAGGTATTAATTATCAGCCGAGTTTTTTTGCACAGCCATCGCTGGGAGGTTTTTACCACCCTCTCATTTTAACACCGCGTATCTTCCTCTGTATTAATTGTGGGCGTAACCTTTTAGAAAACAATGAACTTTCCATTAACTTGAGAATTTCATTTATCCGAAACTATTTTCATTACATTTACAGTTTTACAA